GGGGGGGGGGAGGAAGACAGGGAGCGGAGAGAGAAGAATAGGATTTTCCTGGCGAATTCAGGGCGATGGCATTGGATCGATAGAGAAAGGTTACGTGGAAGTTTTGCTTGCTTCCTCGCTGGATAGATGAAACGTTTCAGGATCAAGTGACGGGCGTACTGCTAGGAGTCATGAACATTATGTAGCTACTACTATAAAGAACGAGAGAAACGAAAGGAACAAGCGAAGGAGACTGGGTACGGTGGAGAGAGAACAGCCCTCGTGGGATGGATGAAAGATGAGGCGTCCCCACAGAGAGAGTTGATTGTGATGTCCCGGAAGCCAACGGCTTCGGACACAACGCTGGCGGATATTAGTTTGGGGAGCTCGGGATTGGCCAATGCGACACCGGCACACCGAGGCAAGCCGACCTGCTATTACTACGATACTCCGGAGTAACTACACGACTAGGATACACATATACAAATCTTATCAGTCAATTTAGCCAGGAAACTTCGTAAGAACAGACCTTATCCTCGGGATAAAAGGTCATGCCGTGGATTGCACGTGGACAATGTCTGATGAAAGATGGTTACTCAGTCTAAGTAACATTATTCACAAGCTACCACAAAAAACACCCAGATGCCATGGAAGGCCAGAAATGAAGGTCAAGAAACCAACAGTGATAAAAACACGGGTCTCTAAATCAAAGAGAAGCAGAAACCGCTGCGCAGCACCGTTTCCGGCCCTAGGAACGTGGCAGGGTCGAAAAGGAGGCCAGGGGCGCCGGTGCGCGCGAGAATGGAAGAAAAATATATGCCAACAAATATCCGGTCAACCGGTTTCCCCCCAAAAAAATACTCGAAACAAAGTCCAGTGCCTATACATAAATGTCCTGATGCTTGCCCCCGCAAACAAGGCTAAACCCGTGGCGCGGCGGAACCGGTGCGCTCGCGGCGGTCCATCCAAGACATTAATATTAACCTGGGTGTTCTTGACGGTAGAAGAGAAATAGACTTTGTGTATGTGCAGTCGCAAATAAACGAGCAATCAAGCCGTCGCCGTGATATCAGAATGAAAAGAAAGAAAGAAAAAAAATAAGAAAAAAAGAATTAACAGTCACGCCCGATGGTTCATCATGCTGGTAGGGTCGTAGAAGCAGAGGTATCGCAATCAGGGGGTTGCAAGTCGGTTGGTGCAGAGAGAAGCTGCCGAGACTGAGGTAGGATCGATAATGCTTGTCCTTCTATGACCATTGCTTTTTGTCTTCCTTTTCCTTCAAGCCGCCCATGCGCTCCAAATCGAGGGACTGGAATCGGCCAGAGTCGTTGGACTGATAGGGAGGAAGGTCCTCATGGCAAGGCTCCAGTCCAACGCCGCCAGTGTCGCTGATGCGCACAACTACGACACGGCCAGACTTGCGCTTCCCGGACTCATCCTCCTCTTCAGGGAAAGTGATCCGGATCTCGGGCACGGAGCTGGGTGGGGGGCTGGAAGAATTCTCGAGCAGATTGCGCTTCTCATTGTAGACGTATACGGACTCTGTTCTGCCGTTTTGGCTGGCCGTGATGGTGACGCGGCCAGGATTGGATTGCGTGGTCTGGCCGTTGTATGCCGGAGGTTGGGACTGCCTGGCACGACGTCTTTGACGAAGAACGAGCAGAGCGCCGAGCAGCGTAATTCCAAAGAGCACCAGAACCAGCAATGAGATCAGCAGGTTGACCGTGGAAGCATTCAATCCCGTTCCCTGATCGTCGCCTCCATTGTCGGAATCACGGGCTATGAGAAACGGAAGAGGAGCCATATCCTCGACAACGGGTCGAGCGAAGACAAGGCAGGCGACACCGCAAACGTCTTTGGCCCTTTCCGCAAGAGGCAGTGATCAATCAACACGCGGCACGCGGTTTATCGGGTAGAACAAAAGAGCGACCAAGCGATGGAAGAGAACGTGGACGGAAGTGTGTATACGGACGCGTGGGTCGGTCGGGATGGGTTTCTTAAACGGACAGGACAGGAGGTCAATTTCGGCTTCGAAAGAACGGACAG